CAAAGCGCAAAAGTGGCTACTAATCTACAATGAGCGAAGAGATCAGCCAATCTTTTTCTTTTGAAGACCATAGGAAATTTACTGGCAACTTCTATACAGGTGTGCTTACTAATTGCATACTGGCTTCCATGCCCCACCTGGAAACCCCTACAGTTCCATGTAATTCCCAGCCCTCCCTCACAGAGGCTTGTGGAAATGACAATATCTGAAGCTTCAACTTTCTTTAGCTTTTATGGTAAATTCCTCTGTAGATACAAAAGCTAATAAATAAAATTAAAATTAAGCATTTCTTAGTGAGTTATAAGGGCAGGATCCTGACAAAGATTCCTTTCTTCCCTACCATGTATGCCAAAGTGCATGTGTTTGTTGGGCTCCTCTGGTCTAGAGCTTTTTCACTGTCACTAGGAAATTCCATGAAACACCAAATATACCAGGTAGGGAACTAAGGAGACAGTGGGGGGTCATAACCACTCCTTCATTTCCTGTCTATTCCTTGTATTGCTTTTCTGCTGGGTTGCAACAAGCAAAAGAGAGGGCAGCCTTTTAAATCATTTTCTGGGCTGGGGTTTTTGGTCAGTGGTGTAAGCACCTGCCTGGCAAGCACAAGGTCATGAGTTCCATCTCTGGTACAAAAAAAAAAAAAAAAAAAGCAAGCAAGAAAGAAATCATTGTTTCCACTTACCATCAAATCCTGACCAGATTTGCTCTACATTGCTGGACAGGTTCCTTTCAGACATAAAATACTACATCGGGTATAAAGTATACTATGAACTTACTCCATAATAGGTGAGGTGTAGTGCAGTTTGTTTAGATTTAGGAAAAAGAAGGATGGAAGGGATACCCTAGATAGAGCACTGTGGAGGATGGAGGCCAGAGTCAGAGCCTACAAGAGGCAGGAAAAGGATGAACAAAAGCAAAAAGAAGGGGATGACAGAAATAAAGAGGGAAATGGAAAGATAATAAAGAAAAAGTTCAAACTGTGTGTAGGGCCCTGGTGTTACTACTTGTTTTTGATAAATACTCATATAAGGGAAGCTGCTGGTATCTGAATGAAAAAGTGTCTTAGCCTGTTCAGGCTGCTTAACATACAAACAAACAAACAAACCCCAAAAACAAAACCATAGACTGAAGTGATTTAAACAACAGGTAGCCATCTCTCACAGTTCTGGAGGCTGAGAAATTTCAGATCAAGGTGCCTGGTGATGCAGGTGGTAATGGCCTCTCCCCAGTTAGTAGACAGCAGTTCTGTTCTCAGTGGAAGGGGCACTGTGTGAGGGGCTTCTTCTTTAAGGACACTAATCCTATTCACTAAGTCTCCCATCATCATAATCCAGTCACCCTGAAAGGCCTTACCTCCAAACGCCATCACCTTAGGGGTTAGGATTTCAACATTTGGAGGGATACAGAATTGCACTAACACAAGAGCATTTGGTCTAAATAAGAAAAAGTAGTTAAGTGTGTGGATTCAAGCCTTGATCTTGTTACTTGAGACTTTGATTAAGAACTCATTCTTGCTCCCTGCATCCCTGCATGTACCTTAGATAACAGCAAATTGAGGAGGGCAGCAAAACCACATTCAGCACACTTTGGAAAGACCCTAAGCAATAGGGAGAGGACCAGAGACTCCAGTACACACCAGTCTGAAAGAAACGAGAAACATGACAAGAGATAGAAATTTAAAAAAAAAAACCTCCAGCTGCTCAACCTGGGAAAATAAGCTCAGGAGAAGTAAATACAGAAGAGAACCAGTGCAGTAACCATCCAATACTAGACACAGTATCAGGAGACATAAAGAAATACCTTCATGACCTCATAGACGAATTTAAAACTGTACTTCTGATCCAAGTGAGGCAACATATAAAAAGATTAATTAAAGAAATGATAATCCCCTCCCAAGAGAACACAGATGGAAGAATGGAGGAACTCAGAAAAGAAAAAGAAACCTTTGATGAAGAATTTAAACATAACCTAGAATACATGAAACAGATCCAAAGAAATTACCAGGAAACTAAAAACTCCATTGAAAACTGGCAAAATGCCTTGAAAGAAACTAAAGTTAGCCTTTTGAAACCTGAAGAGAGATTTATGATATATGATCATGAAAGAAAAGATCTCTTAAAAATAACAAGGAACCAGAAAGAAACAATTCAAAGGCTAGAAGACGACAAAATGACCTATAACTTAAGAATAAAACACATGCACAAAGAAGCAGGAGTAACAACAAATGAAATACAAAGATTATTCACAGATATAATTAAGGAAAACATCCCAAGCATAGGAAAAAGAAATGATATCCAGATAAATAGGCATACAGAACTCCAGCCACCTACAACCAAAACAGATTTACACCCAGACATATAATAATCAAGATTCCAGAAACCCACCAAAAGAACAAAATATTAAAAGCAGCCAGGGAAAAGAATCAGATTACCTACAATGGAAAAATTATCAAAATAACAACAGACTTATCAACACAAACTCTCAAATTGAGAAGAGCCTGGGGGGAAATAGTCTAAGCCCTGAAAGAAAATAATCTGCAACCAAGACTGATGTACCCAGAAAAACTCTCTCTCAAAATTAATGGAGAAAATAAGATGTTTCCAAGACAAGGAGGAACTGTGAGAGTTCATGGCCAACAACCTAACCCTACAAAAAACACTGAAGGACATTCCAGAGAGAGGAAAAAATACGAGGATCCAAGCAACAGTGGCAGAGAGGCCTCAATGAACAGGGCAGACAGTGGAATGAAGGAGCAAAGTGGGCAAATTATAGCAGAAAAATAGAATAGCAGACATGAGGCAGATACTGTAAGCTATAATCTTTAATACAGAGCTCTTTGATACACTAAAAATAGAAAAAAGAAACAGGCAGAGTAGATTAGGAGGCAGGTTCCATCAAGATGCTCTGAATAGGAAATACACTCAACCCAAAAGAGGGTCAATAAACTGAAAGTCAAAGATGAGAAAATAATGCTGTATGTGACAGGAAACCAGAGAGAAATAGAGACAACTCGTCCAGCAGCCACAGATAGATTGGAAAGCTGTGACACTTTTGGGTAGTGTAGAACTACACAGCTGGAAGGAAGGAAAACCCTGGGAATTTAGTAAGTAAAGGAGTACAGCTCAAGATCAAGTTCAGGGGTAAAAAGGTTCAGCAACACTCAGACAGATAACAGGCAGGCCTCCTAATCTAAAAACTAAAGGAGCTAGTGGGACCCAAAACATACAAAGCATCCTGAGAAGGGGAAAGGTGAAAAATAGCCTAAAAAAGGAAGGCAGAGGTCATTGTTAATAGTGTATCAGGATTTAAAAGACACAGTAGTCTTATCACTCTGTTTAGTTTGATTTTATTTTGTTCCGGTCTGTCCACTCATATCAGATTTGAGGGCACAGACATCTAACCCAAAAATAGCAGGTTATACCATTTAACTATCCTTAATTTCCTATTAACTTAAACTGAAACCCTGTATTACTTACGTTGTCTTACTATGACTGATCTTATTTGAATCCAATTCATTAGACCACGGTTCTGCCTTGGCTGATTTTATTTGAGTTTGGTATGCTTGATAGTATCAACTCTAAAAGTAGAGGCAACTACTCTGAAGAAGACAAGATGTAAAAGATATCCATACTGGTTTTGATTATTAACAGCTCTCAAGTCCTACAATGTTTTCAAAGTTGTGTTTTTATAAAAATAGCTATGTAATACTATGCGTAACTATATTAAGCCTGATGAAGTGGACAAGTCTATTGAAAATAACAAGAGAAAGCATAGTAACTATGGTAGATCACCTAATATTGTGGTTTTATGTGTCTTTTTCATCGCATGTTTTTCTAGGAATTTGTTTTGCTGTCTTGTTATGATCTATTTATCCCTATAATATAGAGAGGCTAGATATATATGTAGGCTAGATAATACACAATGTAATGAACAGATACTCTGAAGAAGAGACACTAAGAAACCCAACGCTAATTCTGTAACATTATGATATAAAATCTAGCAATACTATTATTCACTGTTCAGAGTGATACTAGTCTAGTCTCTTAACTTCAATTTCAGCATACTTAAAGACAAGGACAGCTACTAAGAAGAGAATGAGAGACATTATGTAGTCATTTTTGACTTCCTCAATGTCAGATCTTGAAGACCTAAAAAGCCTTCATCATCCTGTAGTGATTTGATTAATTGTATAATATGCAGTATGTATTCAATGTGTGTGAATATGGGGACAACTATTTGGAAGAAAACTAGAGACAATAAGATAGACAGTGAAGATCTCCAGTGGACTTGCTTTGAAATCCATATTGCTTTAAATTGTTTCTTATGAACTGTTTTGTTCTGTTTTGGTATTTTTAATGTTACCCTCTTTAAGATAAAAAAACAAGTGTGTAGGGCTGATAACCATATTACTAAGTTCTTGTTGGATCATTGAACAGAACAGTTGGCAGTGTTACTATTTGAATGTCACTTTGTGTGCTTTAATTTTGAAACCTGAACAACTATTTCTAAGATGACAATTATCAACTAGTGATTTCTTACTGTTTATTTTTCTGTAATTCTGTATTATTTCTACCTTTTTTCTGTTTTGTTTTGTTTTGTTGTTGTTTTTGTCCTTAAATAAAAAAAAGAACTCATTCTTAGGCTGGGCATGTAGGTCAGAATAGAGTACATGCCTAGCATATGTGACATCCTGGGTTTGGGCCTTAGCAACAAATAAATAAATGAATACTCAACCTCTTTGCGCTTTGATTTCATCATTTATAAAATGGCAGACTATTTTTATGTTACATTTATGTTAGTCATGTCACACTAGGTCATGTCACATTATGTTATGTTGCACTGTGCTGGGTAGAGCTCCAATTAAGTTAATACTCATGAACTGCTTAAAACAGTTCTTGGTGTATAGTTAGTGATCAATACAAGTGAGAAACAATGAAAATGGTTCCAAATAAAACATTTGGGCAACATTTAAACTCAAAACTGCTGCAACAGATGAAGAATCTGATTCATTGGTTTTTATTATATATGATTTTACAGAAATTATCATTTTAAATGGGTGTATTTTTCATGTATAATTTTTAGCCAAAAGAAACTCTTGTGAAAGTCTCACCAACAAAAAAGTTATTTCCAAATTTGTCTCACCAAACAGCAGAGGTTCCTTTCACTTTTTTATTCCTTACAGATGAATTGACCAACTTTCATTCCAAACAATGACAAAAGATTCAGTTTCATTTTCACCTCAGTCAGTGTACACACTGACATACGGAGATTAGAAGAAACTCAAGTCTCATTGAGCAAATATCTAGATGGGGTTCTTTCATGAAAGGCAATTTCGAATCGGATGCAAGTTTCTTAGGAGACTTGGCCATCAGTTTTGTTTGTTTCTGGAGAATTCTAGAGGAATATGGCATTTCCTGGATTCCTGGGCACCACTGAAGAAACATCTTATAAGCTCTAACTTCTGTATCTTCCTCAACAGAAGAACCATTGGGAAATAAATGCCTCCCCCAACTCCCAAGGTTCTTGTAAGAATTTTTTTAAAACTGAAAAATAAAAGCGCTCTATGAATACAACAGAAAAACTACAAGCAAAGCTCTTCTTAAATAATTTTGGCAGGCCATTCAATAGCAGGTAGACTGGTTTATCTGCTAGAAGAAATATACCTAAATTAACACCTTTCACTTTTCAGAAGTGTTAATACCATATCTACAAGAGAAAATTCACACTGAATGAGTCATCTGGAATGCTTTAACGTTAGTTATAAACAAAACGAGTCTGGCCAATAGTAGGTGCTCATAAATGTTTGTTGAATGAATTAGGAAGTACTATAATGTAAAACATTTGACAAGATTTCACTCCAAAGGCTCCAGAGGCAAAACAATGGCCCAAACAACACTGTAACTAGGGAGACAACTTTCATGCAGTGGAAACTGAATAATAACAAGAACCAGAGCCTAAATGGTAAATGCTCATCTGGCAGGCTCAACAATTACAATGACTGTCCAACATGAATGCCTTAACATTTATATATATTAAATAGAGTGTAGGGTTAAAGCAAACACTGAAGATGGCACTAAAGTCTTACTTGCAATTTATCACTGCATAAAATACAAGTGGACGACATGGGCTCTGAAAGGAGGCAGAACATTTTGCAGTAGGCACAAGGGTAGAGCAAGGAGTTCCTGAGGAGGAGAGGAAGGAGCAGATAATCTAAAGTAACATGCGCACTCGAGCCTGAGAAATGGGCAAAGGAGGCGTTACAATTCAGGACTCGGCTAAACGCTGGCTACAACTCCTGGAGGAGGTTGGGAAAGAGAAAGAGGAATTCTCTTCATGTCGTGTTAACAGAGGCTTTCTCCTACTATACATTTCATCTCGTATCAGACTTTGTCCCAATATTTGGTGACTATTGGTCAGTATTTCTTTTTTCAATAGCTTTCTTGAGAAACAGCTTGGCTTAGTGTATAGCTCATCCTTTTAGAATGTACAAATCAATGAGTTTTGTGTATTCACAAAGGTGAATCACCGCCACCATCTAATTTGAGAGCCTCTTTGTCACCCCTGTAACCTGGCCCACCTAATCATCACTCAGCATTTTCCTCTCCCCAAGGGGCAGCCATTGCTTGACTGTCAATCTCTCTAACTTTGCCTGTTCTAAATATTTCCTGTAAATGGAATTACATGGCATGCGGTCTCTGTGACTGTTTTCTTCACTCAACATAATACTGTCAAGGTCCATCCTCAATGCACCATGTGTCAGCATTTCATTTCTTCTAACTGCTGAGTGATAGTCCACCACTAAAATATGCAACCCTAACGCTTTCACCAGCTCAGAAACATTCAGGTTGTTTTCATTTTGGAGGTACTATGAGTGAAGTGCCATAACCATAACCATTTGGATAGACAGGTTTCTGTGTGGATGTATACAGGAACTGAGTCTAAATTTGTTCTCACTCTTTGAACATTAAAATACAATTCACATAAAAGTAAAAGTCACTATTTGAGTAGTACATTTTACTGCGCTGCAGTACCCACACAGCTATACAAAATAATCACCATCATGGAACTCCAAAAAGTGTTTCAACCACACCACACAGGGACCCTATTAGCTTTAAAATAGTATTGAATCAGTAAGTCTAGAGTTCTCTGTTCTTCCCTTTACCTTATAAAAATGATTTATAGTGTATCTTGTGCTTTTTATTCAAACTGGAATATACTCCATGCTTTTGAAAACAACTGCATTAACTTTGTTAAATATGAGGTTTGTCAATATGTAACTCACATGCCATCAAATGCACCCGTTTAGAGTGTATGATGTAGTGGTTTTTACTACTTTCACGAAGTTGGGTGATTGCGACCACTGTCTAATTCAAGAACATTTCCATCACGCCAACAAGAAGCCCAGCACGGGAGCAGCCAGTGGGTGGCTTCTCACTGCCTCCTCATGCTGGCTCTGGCAACCATTCCTCAGCGCTCTGTCTCTGGTCTGCCTGTTCTGACCTGTATTTAACCTTGGCAGGAATACAAAGAGACTTTTAGACCACTATCCACTAATCATCTTTGTGAAGCATAACTACTTTGGCTATGCATACAAACACTTACTGCTTTCATAATACTGATATTTTTGGAGAGAATTTAAACATTTCCAGAGCCCCTGTGCTGAGGATGTAAGAAAAGGGTCATTCACATGCACTATCAATTGGAGTTTAAGCAGCATAACATTTCTCAAATCCAATTTAATCAGATGTGCTAAAAGTCATTAAAATATACATATTATTTCAGCCACAAGCTCCATTTACTCTAAAGAAATTATCTTTGGGAGCCTGAAAAGGAAATACAGATAGATAGATAGATAGATAGATAGATAGGTACATAGATCATGATGCAATTAAGAATAGCAAAAATAGGAACCAAACTAAATACTGTTCAAACAAAACAAAGAATTAATTAACACATCATCAATTATCATATGGTTATTAAAAATTTTGCTGAGCAAAAATTTGGGGAAAATGTGATTTTTGGTTAAGTTTTTTAAAGATACTGGTTAAAAAACAGTATTAAATATTTTCCCAACATTATATGCATTTCATTTTATCCAAAAGAGAGTCCATGCAACATAAAATTTGCACCAAGGTAACGTATGTTTCAAGGGATAACTTTTGTGTGGACGTTAGCAATTTCAGACCCACATCTCCAAGAAGCAGGGATACTATTTTATCACTATAAACTGTGCTCAGCTGGAGGTCAGATCATGCCAGCTTGAGGTGGCTTAGTTACTTTCAGTAGAACGAGTCCCTTTTAGACAATTCCAGTCAGAATTGGTTTATTAATTGGTCATTTCAAAATTGGAATCCTGTCTTTACTTCTCAAGAGTTCGTCCCCTCCTCCCTCTTCAGGATCTCTGGGAGAGGCAGTGGTTTTCAGGGCACAGTGGCCCTGGAGATGGAATCCCGGCTTCCAGCTTCCACCCCGCTCCCCTTGCGGGTTCTCACTGATGGGAGGTGGCAGGGGTCTTGCTGGCTTATCTTGAAGACTTGTGCTTTTGAGGGGTTGGGTGTCTTTCCCTCTGCTCACGTCTATTTTACCCACTATCAAGAGCCTGCCACTGTCCACTCCCAACTCCTTTTCCACACCCATCTCTCCAATCTCAGCTCACTTTCTCTAACACCCCACCCTGGGTTCTAAGTCCTCCCTTCCCAGTGGTTCCTGGAAGGCCACTAGCCCATTCCTCAGCAGTCCCAACCTCCAGGATATGACCCACTGGTATTTTCTTTCTGCCTTGTGCACTTGGAGGAACAAGGGAGTGAGGTTATCTTCTCCATCTTCTGTGTGTGCCGCAAGTGAGTCAATGTCAGCCTACCTAAGTGGCCTTCTTCCAGTAATTCTGTTTTTTTTTTTTTTTTTTTTCCTTTGGTCTTTTTCCTTTTTATTGGTACCAGGGATCGAACTCACGACCGCCTGCTTGCAAGGCAGGTGCTTATGCCGCTGAGCTAAATCCCCAGCCCCTTTCCAGTAATTCTGGATTGAAGAGACCAAGAAAGCTCGTTCCATCTGCTGCCCCCCCCCCTTCTCCCTTCAAATCCAACTAGGTTAAGTTTTAACTTCCTAAAGGCCATAAAACAAAGGCCTGAGGTAATAGCTCCTGACATCCTGGGTCTTCCCTATCCAGAAGCCCCATCACAAATTGTGTTAATTACATCAGATTGTATTAGATTGTACATTCTTCACAAAAATAGCTTCGTTTATATCATAGTAATACCTGTAACTGTAAATGTGTGTCTTCCTTTTACTCTGGGTAAAAGATTGATATGTTGATCAATGCTCTCTGTAAAGAATTGTAAAATCTTACCTAATCGATATGCTAACCATTGTTGCCCTCTACAAATAGAACGGTTGTGGTGCTAAAGTATGTGCAGCTCCACCCCCACAGGAACCAGTGTTCTTAAACAGTTAAGACAAACAGTCTTAACCTAAGACAGATCTCTCAGTCATGAGACAAATGCCCATTCCTAAGAAATGCCACCCCTTCTAGGGAGACACTCCCTTGCCCCACTAAAAAACCCAATCCCTTAAGGACAGCTCACCATCAGCTCTGCTCTAACCGCTATGATTGGCTTCTGTAACAATGCTTGCTTGCTTTGCGGTTTTAGGCCTTAAAAGGCACAGCCCTGCTCGAGTAAGGGGTTCTCCGTTTCTACCTGTTTGGAGGACCCCGTGTACACGGAATAATAAAAACCCCATTGTTCTTACATGAGAGCGAGGCCCTTGGAGTCTTCCTCGCGACACCGGTCTAACAGGATGATAGGAGTACAAGATCCCTAGGGTGAACAGAAGATGAAAATTTTCTACTATATTCGCATAGTTTTCAAGGGAGACGGAATTAAATAAATTCTACAAAACAACCAGTCTTTCCTCTCTGCTTTCTTGCCCCTTCCTTCACTTTTTCTTTCCTTTTCCTCTCCATGTCTTCCCACTGTTGATGAGAAATGGTGGATACGAAAGTCTCAAGGTGTGTGAAGTAGTCAGGGATCAACATACAGGTTTAGAAGGCCTCAGCATACAGGTGTTGGTTCAACTGTGCAGTTAAATGTGTGATCATGCACAGAGGAAAGAAGCCAAGGAATCATGTTTTGTTTAAAGAGATAGAAGAATAACAATGAATTTTGTTTAAAAACTCTGGCATATGACAAGATAAAAATAAATTCTATGAAAGAGAAAGGGCTTTGTCATTCCCTCTGTCAAAAAAAAAAATGTTTTTAACCAGCAACCAGGGTCTTAGGTGGGGATGGACACAAAGTAGTAAGTCCTGTGGATACTTTCACTAGTGACTTGGCCGTGGACACGAGTTTGAAGGATGCTAGCAGGCTCTAAAACTGTGGCTACCTCTACGGACTATGTGTTCTGAAATGAAGATCTCTAAACTGGAAATTCTTTCACTGGGAACATTTATTTTTCAATTAACAAACAGAAATCTTTCCTTAAGATTGCCTTTGCCAGTTAGGTGTCTAGGGAAATGTAAGGAAGGATGGGCTGATGGACGGATGGGTTTATGGCTGCATGGCTGGCTGGAGCGTGGATAGATGAATGAATAGGTGGATATAGAAGAGGGATAAATGTGGGTGGTGGAGGTGTGGGTGACTGTGTACGCATAGGTAGATGAGTAGATAGCAGGAAGACACTGCTGGTGACCACATGAGGACATTAAACAGTGTGTAGAAAGGTCACTTTTTAAAGACTTTACAATTAATTACTTGAATGGACAAAAACATATCAAAAGTCAATCGATAGCCACCACACTTGGCAAGTCCTTAAAGTAAATGTGCTTGACCTCAGAGAGCTTTCAAAGTAATAGAAGAAGAGACAAAGAACAAACACATTAATACATAATTAAAAATTGTGAAAGTGCTTCAAAGAAAAGTATCCCCTTGTTAATATTCAAATTTTTACATTTCATTAAATGAGAAACTAACAAATTAGTGATCTAAAATCCTCCTTACACAAGGAGCACTGACCACCACAGAGTAAAGAAAATTGAAGATACCCACAGGGGTTTTAATTTCGTTGTTTCAGTATTGAAGCAAGGGCCTCTCATGTGGTTGGCAAGCAAGCGCTCTACTGCTGAGCTTAATTCACACCCTGAGGTCACATTCTTTAAAATGGAAAACTGGCCTCTATCTGGCACTTTCTTGCCTCTGAGACACTCAACACCACAACTTAAAAGAGGAGAGGCCTATTTTGACTCACGGTTTTTAGAGGTTTCAGTCCAGGGTCAGCTTGCCCCAAGGCAGAAAAGGCCTGGTAGTAGGGGCCTGGTAGGAGGGGCCTACTGAGGACATGGCTCACATCAGCGCAGCCAGGAGGGAAAGGACCCCTTTCTGGTCACATCCCAAAGACTGTCTTCTGCCCACTGCTCCCCACCTCCTAGCCGTCGATGAGCCCTGACGTGTTCCGTGGATGAATCCACTGATGAGGGCCGCACTCTCACGATCCAATCCCCTTTCCTTTTTTCTTTTGTCATAGGATTTTATTTATCACTATTAAAAACCTGGATTTTAAGCAGACTCTTGGCCTGGTGGTTCATATCCATCAGCTCCTTGAACTTTATCTCCAGCCTTGTTCCCAGTAGCTTTTCCAGAGCTGCTGCCTTCACCATGAAGCTCCGTGAGCTTTCCCAATTCACACTTGGGCTTCTTCAGCATTTTTACTTTTCTGACAAAGACATCACGAAGAGGATAAATAGACTGGCAAGCCTTTTCTGTGTCTTTCCCAATGCTGTCTGGAATCATCTATTGACCAATCGCCTTTTCAAAGCTCTGCCTCTGCAGACTGGAGGCTTCGAAGGGACTTCTGTATCCAAACTGAAACAGCCTGCTTGCTTTTCCTCCTGGCCAGTTTTGCTAGGAAGAAAGAAAAGAAAAAGACAGGAATAATTTAAATTTGTATTTACATTTTACAGTAAACTAAGAATGTTCACTGAATGTAAAAATAATATAAATGTTTCTTTTCGCCCTCTTTCCTCCATATCTAATATCTGACTTACTGATATTTCTTTTAAAACGTTACACCCGCAATATTGTTGCAAGTATCCGTCACTACTGCATGAAGCCACCCTTTGGCGGCTTTAAATTCGGTATAACCTTTAATTACCTTATAGTATCTGATACATAATATATTAAAGGTACTGTAGCTTGTTTAATACCATATTAGCCCTTAAATTTTATATTTACTTATTTGGCAGGGGCTTTGATATACATTTTTTTTTAATGAGAAAGACTACTAATGTGTAGAATATGGAAAACCAGCAAATTCATGTACACCCAATGTAATTAATCATTACTTATGAGCATTATTTTTTATTATTGTCATTAAAGTACAGGACTGAGTAATGTGTGTCAGTCATAGTGTACAAAATATAACAACCCAAAACATCTGAAAATTAAGATATATTTAGGTTGTCCTTAATACATATTAAACCTCTCTTATCATGCATAACCATATAATTAGTCTTTGCAATACAAGCATAGTACGTCCTTATTACTAAATTGACTAAATGTTTGTCACTGCTGCAAACAAATTAAAATGCAGGCTGCTTTTAGCTTTCTGCCAAATATAAGTGGTAGGTGCCCATTCATAAAAAGATATTTCTTGTCAAACCAATCTCCTGCCTTTCAACAATAAAATCGAAATTATCTTCACTAATTTCCTTTGTTTCACTTTGTTGAACTTTTCCTCGTGTATAGGATTCTAATGTATAAAATGACCTTAGCCATGAGAATGATACATAAAACCCTAAGAATTTAAAAGTGAAAGTATCACCCAACCTTTCTTGTTATTCTTTTCAACCAAGGTAAGATCTCAGTCGGACAATTTAAAGTTTTTATTTTGTCATGTATTCTATATGCTGTGAGTTCAGGGAAAGGGGAACCACATTATATGAGATTGTTTTTGACATCTGAATGTTTCTTTTTTTTTTTTTTTTTTGTCTTTTTCCTTTTTATCAGTACCGGGGATCGAACTCATGACTGCTTGCTTGTAAGGCAGGCGCTTATGCCGCTGAGCTAAATCTCCAGCCCCAATATCTGAATGTTTCTTTCAGCACTGGATTACTTTCTGTGTTCCTGATCCTATATGATTTACACTCTAAAAAAGAAGAGTCAGGCCATTACATCAAGGAAGTAGTGCTTGAGAGAATAAAAGTCTCCTATAGTTCAGAGAAAAACTACAAACTGTATTGCAGGGAGAAACAAAACTTCAGTGAGGAAATGGCACCCAAATGGGCTGTGATGGATTGGAAGATTTCAGTGAATTAACATGTTGCTTGCTTCAGACTTAAATAAGAAAGAAAGCACGGGAGAGACTCAGATGTTGGTGAAAGCGTTAACAAAATTGAGTTTAAAAACGGTTATTTTCTGAAACAAACCTATAGCATATTATAGCTAAGTATAGAAGTTAAAAGACATTTACAGGTATGTTTAATGAATTTCAGAAGATTTATAGCAACAACGGTTTTACCTAATTAAAGCATACATAAAACATCTACTCTGCCCTGCCAGGGAGCAATTGTTCAGTAGTAATAGCTACAGTTAGTAGTATAGTTGAGTTAGTAGGATCAATGGTTATAACAGAGCTTAACTGGGTATTTTAAGCTGTTTAACATTTAAAAGGATAGATTAATCATTTACATATTACACAAATATTAAGCATACAAGCTGATAAGTTTTGACGCATATGACTGACCCCTCTCAGCACCCCATTGCAATACAGAACATGCTGTTGTAGGGGGGAAGACCCCTATCCAGCCACTTCCTGGTCCTTTCTCCCCACCTCCCTCCATGCTACCAAAATTGATTCCTGTAACCATTGACTAATCTCACCTATTGAATTTCCATGAAGTTCATGTGCACAGAGAAATACAATGCATAATGTTTGGAATTTATTTAAAAATCAGCATTAAATTGTATCCCTTCTTTACGAGTGCCTGTGTCTGCTCAGAGCTCCGTGTTGAACACATCTTCCCAGGCTGTGGCTTCTCTATTCATCATTTAATGGTGATTTTTGAAATTATTAAATTTTGATAAAGATCACCTTACTTTTTTTTTTCTTTTTCTTTTTGTGATTACTGCTTTCTGTATTTTCCCTAAAGAAACCTTTGCCAGCCTTGGGGTTGCAAAGCTATTTCCCTATAATTTCTTTTAGGAGCATTATACTTACAGATTTTCTATTTGGGTCTAAAGTCCCTCTTAAACTACTATTTGTGTATGACATCAGGTATGAGTTGAGGTCCATTTTCCCCCATGTGAGTACCTAGTTGTTCCAGCACTGTTAGATGAAATAGCTTTGTTCAAGTTTAATTTCCCTGAAATTATGCCAAGAAACAGGAAGTTTTTGAAAGATTATAAAAGGAAAGTAGGAGTAAAAATGATTCCTTGACTCATACTTGAGTCATTCTTTGTACTCGTATAGCAAGCATGTAGAAATGATCATTTATATCTTTTTTAAAAGTACAGCCTTACACACGAACATGCGACAGCAAGACCTAAATGAACTAACAAAATTATTTTGTATGGAAAGAGTGCTCAATCCTTTATTGAAAACTTTCAGCATTTTTATTTTTCAATAGAAGCCTTTGAAGGCAAGTAAACAATCATTTCTGGGGGAAGAGGAGCAGTGAAACTTTCAGTGAACCTTTTGACTATGCAAAGATAAAACTAAAATCTCTTCCAGATTGGAGAGCTTGAAGGATTCCAGAATTATACTGCAGATCATGACACAAAATTGGCTGGGTCAGGCTTCACACCAATCAAGAGTGAAAATGTAAACTTTGTCTTTGTCTCTGGTCTTCAGATGAGACAGAGATTTGTATTCTGGATGGACAGATAACTTGAAGACAGCGTAAACACGCTGGGGGAGGGGAGGCAAGTAAAAAACTGCAAGCATCAGTTTCACTTGGGAAGAGGCTAGAGTGCAAATTCTCAGACCCACTTTAGAGGTTTGGTACTGGAAACCTGGTGGAAGGAGAGGACTCAAATTTGTAACATAAGCCCAGCCCAGTTGGTCACTCTGAGGCACACTTGAGAATCACTGCTTTGCAGAACTGCACTAGTTCAATACCCACTAGCTACATCAAGCCATTAACTTTAAACTATGTAAAGTTAAACAAAATGAAAATTCATTTCCGTAGTCATACTAGCTACATTTCCAGTATCTGATATAATAGATCACACATGGCCTTACAAATAAGGTGATCTTATATCCCATTTTCTCCAGTATACATGCCTGTGCCTTCATAGTTATTAACAGCACAACTTTTTCATTCTCAAAAGTATCTCATTTGTAAAGTAAGTTTGAGTGGTAAGTCACACTATCTCACAGCTCTGACATACAACTTTGACTTTATCTTAAGAACAGTAGGAAGATATTGAGCACTTTTAAGCAGGGAGTGGATATTTTTTAAGTGTTCAGGAATAATCCTTCTGACTTTAGAGAGATTAACGAAGTGGAGATCAGTTACCACATTGTTATAACTATTCAGGCAAGAGATGATGGTAACCTAGGCCACAACTGTGGTATTGTGCATGTAAAGAAATGGGAAGAATTATAAACTAGAAGAATGCAGAATAGATAACAATTGGATATATGGACAGATGGGAGTCAAGCTGATTACTCTCCTATTTTTTCTAGGCAAATAATATCCAGGTAATAATATTATATTCTAAAATAGGAATAAGAGGAAAATGGAAAATGGGATCATGGCTAATGATGATATTTGCAGAAGGAAACTTAGGACTTTTGTGTTTGGAGCTCAGGGAGGAGATGGAGGTTTCAGTCTGAGATTCATTAGGAAGTGAGATTCCCTACATAGACTGTAGAGAGTGTGAAGCACAGAAAACTTGCAGTGGAGCTCTGAGGAGCACCAACTACGGGGGCAGAGCATAAAGAGCCAGCAAAGGAAAACCAGGGAGTGTAGAATAAGGGCTATAAAGGAAGAAAAAGAGTTTTCAAAAGAATGGGCTTTCCAGAATAATACAAAAATGTCAAGTGGAATAAGGTCTAAAAGTGCCGATGAGGGGCCTTGGGGACACTGGTAACAGAAGTTCTGTGGAACTGAGGAGGTTAAAGACTGTGTAGAAAGGAACGAGCCTGAGGGCAATGACTGGAAGGGAGTGGGGACAGCAAGTGCTGACAACCTGAGGCTTTCTCGAAGAGAAGGGCAGAGATATAGCAATGTTGCAGAAGGAATCGCAACTGAAGATCTTCTTTTAAATATCACACTCGTGTTTGAGTGCTAGTTAGAAGGAATGGATAGAGATGGAAGATTTGAAACTATGGAATAGGGAGAAACAGGTGAACAAGATCTGTGAGAGCTGTGGTGGCGAACCTGGGGCACGCGTACCGTAGTGGGCTGTTTGTATCATTGAAAATTCTCAATGGTTTGCCATCGCTGATCTGGAGCACCAATGAAGGTTGCACTAGATATCTACTGCTTGCTACTAAATTCTTCTAAAATTTAGCTCAGCTCCAGGGCTCAGATCCATTTGGCCCAATGTCTCTCATGAGTCTATGGTCAGACTATTTGCTTGGGTTGTGGCCTCCTCCACAGACTCCACTCAAACTACTCTGGGTCTAAAAGCCAGTTTGCTGTCAGGCTTCAGTTTTTCATGGGTTGAGGACGTTGGCTTCCTGCAGCCCATCACCAGACACATCACTTCTCTTGGAACACAAACTTCACAAAATGGTAACTGGCTCCTCCCAGAGGAAGCAAGAATGAGAGAGACCTAGGGGGCATCTGAGATCAAAGTCACAATCCTGTAACCTAAAATTGGAAGTGACTCCTGTCAATGTTTGTATATTCAATTGAGAAGGAGCAAGTCACGAACTCCAACTGTCCCTCAAGAGG